CTGTGCCCTGCCGAGCTCTGTGGGAACATGGGGCAGCTCACAGCAGGTGACGAGGTGCTCTGGCCATAGTCAGGCTCCCAGGTAGGCTTTTCAGGACGTGAGCACCCTGGTACACATCGAGGGGCAGTACCTGCCTTCGGGCTTGGTAGAGAATGTCGCTAGAGCATGAAGTATCTTTCAAAAAATTAATTCAGAAAATTCTAACTGTGGTGACGTACACGTTCAATTTACCGTCTTAGCCATTTGTAGGCACACAGTTCAGTAGGAAGTGTGTTCACAGTGTTGTGCAGCCCATCTCTAGAACTTTGTCATCTTGCAAAGCTGAAACTCCGTACCCATTAAACTGTCCCATTTCCCAGCCCTTCCTCTTACCTTCTGAAGCAGGAAGCTTTGTCTTCCTTCCATCACCCCTCCTTTTTGAGCATTGGCCCCAAGGGAAGCGTCTGGGCCTTTGGGGTAGGGTTGTATAGAAGGCACCGAGCTGTCATCAGACCTGCGAGGAGGAAATGGAAGGTTCTGCCAAAGGAGGTTGTCCCTATAGATTTTCCTTCCTGAAATTTGCAGTCTTCATGCAGCTTTTCTGTGACATGTCCCAATTCCATTGAAAATTGCTTTGCTATGTTATTCCTTTAAACCTTCCTTAAATAATATGTCCTCTAACGTTTGTGGCTGGTGTTGATGTTCTAGGCAATGATAAGATGGCACCTTTAAATCCTGTGTGACTTTAATTTTCTCCCTCAGAACTGCAGTTTTTCATTCTTCCTATTTTTCATGTTTTGAATTGAGGTTTCCCAGTTTGGGCCCAATCCTACTGCTGAATATTTCTGGAAAAATTTGAGTCGCAGCCATTGGGTGGTTCTCAAAATATCAAAACAAGGAAAAAGTTATGTGTTTTCCTTTTCTTCACCCAGGTTTGGGGATAGGTAATTAAGACATGACTTCAGAATTGGCCTACAGATGGTCCAGTGTAAAAAAAAAAAAAAAAAAAAAAAAAAAGAAGAAAGAAAAGAAAAAGAAACAATGACTGCTATTTTTGTTCTTGGGGGAATAAATTTGGGGGAAGGAGTAAGAACAGAACAACTAAATGTGTTCTGTTTTTCCTTGTGGGAAAGAATACTAAGTTACACAAAGATTTTCTTTTGCTTTAATAATAGTTCTCAAAGAGTAAGATCCAAGCAATGACACAGCTAATTCCTTTCTCACAGATGCTCAAGCCCAGTGCGTGCCTGGCTTCTGACGAGTGTGTACCAGACAGTGTGTCCAGCTTCACGTGGCCTGAATTAACTGTCCCTCCACTGTCCATTCTGGTCGTTGCTTTATGTTGCTGCTGATGTACCCAAGAACACAGCAGAAAGTTCTAATGCCCCTGCTGGAAAATTCTCCCTTCTAGATGGTGTCTATCAGGGGAAAAAAAAAAAAAAAAAAAAGTAGACGTTTCAACACCAAGTGAAATAACTCAGAGGAAAAGAAATACTGTGTGCTCTCACTTATATGTGGAATCTAAAAAGGCTGAACTCCTAGGTACAGAGAAGAGTTTGCTGGTTGCCAGAGATGGGGGTGGGCAATGGGTGAAGGGGGTCAAAAGGTGCACGCTTCCAGTTATAAGTCTTGGGGATATAATGTACAGCAAGGTGACTGTGGTTAATAATACTGAATCACATGTTTGCAAGTTCCTAAGAGGATAGATCTTAAAAGTTCTTACCACAAGAAAACAGATTGTGACTATGCGAGGTGATGGGTGTTTGCTGAACTTCTTGGGATGATCATTTGCAGTGTGTGTGTGTGTGTGTGTGTGTGTGTGTGTGTGTGTCTGTCAAATCATGTACACCTAAAAATAATACAATGTTGTATATCAGTCATCTCTCAAACTAGGAAAAACCAGCACACACTAAAGCAGAAGTCTTTCCCCAGGTGTTCAAAAGACTCCCATCCCTGTTCTTTCTGTATCTTCTTCTACCACCTATGTGATTTATCCCATTATATTTATATAATATATACTTATATGTATTGTATATATATATATAAATATGTATGTATTTTATGGGATTATATATATATAGGATAATATAAATATAGGAGATATATATATATATATATATATATATATATATATATATATATATATATATAATATATGGGGGATAATATATATTTATCCCATTATCCCATTATGCCCTCCGCATCCTGCTTTGTCCATATTTACAGGAGAGGGACCAGGGAGCCTCACATTCAATGGACTTTTCTCATCCATGTCAACTTTGATTACTCTGCCTTGTTTGAGATTTCCTCTTTCTCTTCCCCTTGAAATGCTTTCCTTTGATTTTTTTTTTTTTTTATATTGAGGTCCTTATAATGAAGTTCTAAAAGCAAGAGGTACAAAACTGAGAGGGACAAATCCTCTCTTGTTACTATAATCCTGTCTCCATGACACACTGTGGTTAGAATGAAGACTCTGGGGAGTAAAGGAGGAATATGGCCTTGTTGTCCCGACAAGCCTGGATATGAGTTGGGGTCATTGTTGACTGGCTGTGGGTCTTGAGCAGGTGTCGTTCTCTTGATTAGCTGAAGGTGGTGGAGATATTGAATTTGACGGGTTTTGATGAGGGTTAGAGATGACACAGGCTGGCACATGACGGATGGCCAAAGGCATTGACCTCCCTTTTCCCCTTCTTAAAGGTCCCCTTCAACGTCCCCCATAAAAGCCCATAATGGAAGTTTTAAGTTTTCTACCAGGATTATCTAATACCCATTCTTTCTTTGGGAATCTACTGTTCTATGCCTTTTTTTTTTTTTTTTTAAACAACTGATTTCAAGCTTAGCTTTGTGTGTTTGTGCACACATGTGGGTGTGATTCCAGAGTTTCCTATCATGTGCATATTTCTTTTGGGAATTCATATTTATGGGAGTTTTTAGATCTCAGAAGATCATTTTTTTTAAAAAGTATTTATTTATTTTAGAGAGTGAGCATGGTGGGGGAGGGGTGGAGAGACAGGGAGAATCCTCAGGTAGACTCCCCACTGAGTCTAGAGCTCGACGTGGGGCCCAATCCTGTGACCCCAAGATCGTGACTGGAGCTGAAATCAAGAGTCAGATGCTCAACCAGCTGAGCCACCCAGGCGTCCCCAGAAGGCCTTTTAAATAAATCTGGGTCGTATTTCCCATGTATACATTTTTTTGTTATTATTCTTTATGAACACTGAAAATTAAATTTCATATAATTATTCTTCAGATTTTTTTTGTACTGGAAAAATGCAAGTTTTTAAATATGTTAGTATTTTATAATTTTTAAATTAATAGTTTTTAATGAGCATAATTTTTATCTTATTTATAAAAACTTTTATTTCATTCATTTGTATTTTCTGGAAAAATTGAGCAAATAGTACAGAGAGTTCCCATACACAGATCTCCTCTTATTATCGTCTTACAATAGTATGGTATAAACTAATGGACCAATAATGATGTGTCATTTTTATTATTTTTATGGAAGCATAATCAACATACAGTGTTATATTTCAAGTGTACAATGTATAGAGTCAGTAAATCTGTACATTATTCAGTGCCCATCATGATAAGTGCGGTCACCATCTGTCCCCAAACAATGTTACTACAATCTTACTGACTGTATTTCCTATGCTATACTTTACATTTTTGTGACTTCTTTACCATTTATTTATTTAAGATTTTATTTCTTTGACAGAGAGAGACAGCGACAGAGGGAACACAAGCTGGGGGAGTGGGAGAGAGAGAGGCAGGCTTCCCGCTGAGCAGGGAGCCCGATGTGGGGCTCGGTCCCAGGACCCTGGGATCGTGACCTGAGATGAAGGTGGACCCTTAACAACTGAGCCACCCAGGCGCCCCGATGTTGACTTCTTTATTTTATAACTTGAAAGTTTGTATCTCTTTAAGATTAAACCCCTTTTTTTATTTCCCCTGTGTCCCACTCACCTCCCCTGAGTTTGTTAATCATCAGTTCTCTGTATTTAAGAGCCCGTTTTTGTTTGTTCTTTTCATTTTTTTGGTTCCACATATAAGTGAAATCATGTGTTATTTGTCTTTCTCTGACTTACTTCACTTAGTATAATACTCTCCAGGTCCATACATATTGTCACAAATGGCAAGATCTCATTTTTTTTTTAAAAGATTTTATTTATTTATTTGTCAGAGAGAAAGAGAAAGCACGCACAAGCAGGCAGAGAGGCAGCCAGAGGCAGAGAGAGCAGGCTCCCCACTGAGCGAGGAGCCCAATGTGGGACTCGATCCCAGGACCCTGGGATCACGACCCGAGCCGAAGGCAGCAGCTTAACCAACTGAGCCACCCAGGCACCCCAAGATCTCATTCTTTTTTATGCTGAGTAATACTCCATTGTATAGATGTATCCTACCTCTTTATCCATTCATTTGTTGACTGACACTTGACTATTGTAAATAATCCTGCCATAAATGTGGGGTGCATACGTCTTTTCAAATTAGTGTTTTCATTTCCTCTAGGTAAATACCCTTTAGTGGAATTACAGGATCAGAGGGTAGTTCTATTTTTAATTTTGGGAGGAACCTCCGACCTGTTTTCCACAGTAGCTACACCAGTTTACATTCCCACCAACAGTGCACGAGGGTTCCTTTTCCTCTACATCCTTGCCAACCCTCGTTATTTCTTGACTTTTTGATGTTAGTCATTCCGACAGGTGTAAGGTCACAGCTCCTTGTGGTTTGGGTAGGTGTTTCCCTAGTGACAGAGCATCTTTTCATGTGTCTGATGGCCATCTGTAGGTCTTCTTTGAAAAAATGTCTGTTCAGGTCCTCTGCCCATTGGATTATTTTTTGGCATTCTGATTCATTATTATTGACTAGAGTCAATAGTTAATGCACATGTCCTTAGTTTTTAGCTAACATCTTTTGTCTATTCCAGGATCCCTTCCAGGATACCACTGTATTTTTATAAATTTTTTATTAATTTTTAAATTAATTTTTCACATCATTAATTTTTTTTTTCCTCTTGACAGGTGTACAATATGTTTCAACACCAGAGCCTTGGAAGTAAGGTGAACATTCAGGTTACCAAGCTCGTCCTGCTACGACAACGGCCTGTAAGTCCCCACGGATGCCCGTCAGAGCACACAGACAGCGTAACTGGTCTGCAAGTTTCCTAGTTGCTGTGGAGTGCTAAGGAGGAGTGCAGGTGGTTGTCAGTCCTATCTGCCCTGCCAGGCTTTGCAGATGGCAGCAGTGTGCCCTGGGCTGGGGACTGGGGATGTCCAGTGGGAGGAGGGCAGGTACTGTTACTAGAAGCTTGGTGTGCATGTGATGTGCTTGGAATTTCTAGGGAACCCTGAGCACTGGGCCTGTGTGCATCCCTCCAACACTCCCGGCACATCTCACATGTGCACCTCTAGATGGTGAGGTCTTTGGAAACCAATCGCTACCTTCTGGAGCTACATCCCAGCCTCGGGCCAAATTTGGATTCTCTGTAGCATTGTTTTCTGGTCTTTGAGTCAAGTGCATTCCCACATGATAATGTCACTTGCAGAGTTGGGCAATGAACTTGAAAACAAGAGACCGATGATGCTTGGTTGGGCACATAGTTCAGTTTGCCAAAAGAAAAAAATATATTTTTCTTTAATTACATAGTCTTCATATGAACTTGCAAAGAAGGCCCTGGCCTCTCTCTGGTCTGTGCACCTTCCTACCAGCATTACGATTGCATTTGGGAGAAGCACTTCATGGGATGATGTCCCAGCAAGCAGTTGTCTCCACACTATATCCTGGATGTAAACTCTGGCTTCCCTGGGTGTTTGCTTTTTTAACTGCCCCCCACCCACCCCTATTTCTTTCAGGCCAAATTGTCCATTGGGCACCATGGTGAGCGGTCCCTGGAGAGCTTCTGTTACTGGCAGAACGAGGAATACGGAGGAGCCCGGTACCTCGGCAATAATCAGGTTCCAGGAGGGAAGGATGATACGCCCCCCGTGGACGCGGCTGTATTTGTTACCAGGTGAGGCTGGATTTGGTCTGTAGCGGTGCACACAACTGGGGAAAGGCATGTCCCTCTTTGGAGAGGAAAAGAGGGCAGTTTGCTCGGAATCCAGGCTTGGAAATCAGACCATGGGCCAGATCACCGAGCCTTGAATTCCTCGTCAGTAAAATGGGGGTAAATTATAGTATCTAACCCTGAGTTACAAGGATCCCGTGAGCACAACAAGTGCTTCTCCTGGTGCCTGGCCCAAAGTAAGGACACAGTCAGCATTAGCCATAATTGTTGCTGTTGTTACTATTAAAAGAAAAGTACCAAAATCCTGGTTACCCAAAAGTCTTAAAGCTTCTAAGAAAATGCATCTGCTACCTCTCCTGAGCACCAGAGATAATGCTCACCAGGAAAGAGCTAACCTGTGTTTGAGGTTGCCTCTTGACTGACTTGAAGGTGCTGGCAGTTGTGGAGGGGGAGTGGATACCCCGAGTTTCCTGTAGGAGGGAGTACATGTAGATACCCGTATGCTGTGCATGGCCCCAACCCCGGGGCACTCCTGGGGCACTCCTGGGGCAACAGCAGTTGGCAGAGAGGCCTGGGGAATTCCCATGCATGTTCTGTTGCAAGTAAGGAGCTGAGCATCTTTCTAACTATAGAGCTGGACTTTTCCAGTCTGAGAGGGACACCAGGGGCCCGGCAGCGGACAGCAGAAACCAAAGACAGCCTTCCCATGGAGGCAGCGGCCACGTCCTCTTAGTTTGCCAGGGGGATACAGTAACAAATGAGCACAGCCTGGGGGACTTAAAACAACAGAAATGTATTCTTACACTGTTTGGGAGGCCAGAAGCCCAAGGTCAAGGTGTGGGCAGGGCCGTGCTCTCTCTGAAGGGTCCAGGAGAGGATCCTTGCATCCTTCCTCCTAACTTCCAGTGGTGGCCTGCAATCTTTGGCATCCCTTGTCTTGTAGGTGCATGGCTCTGACCTCTCCTGCACTGTCACGTGGTCGTTTAGCCTCCTCCCTCTGTCCCAATTACCCTCTTCTCATAAGGACATCGGTCCTTGGATTAGGGCCCAGCTGTAGCCCAGTGGGATTCCATCTTAATTTGCCTGCACCCGCAACGACCCTCTTTCCAAATAAGGTCGCGTTCACAGGTACAGGTACTAGGGGTTAACACTTGAACATATCTGTTTTGGGGGACACACTTTAACCCACAACAGATATGGATGTGGCTCTTTCATTTTCCTCTCATGTCTCAAACCTCTCCGAGAAAAACTGATTTGCTTGGGTTGCCTGACTACCGTGATATAAGTAGAAAGTGTTGTGTTCACACCAAAACTCCCGCTTTATGAAATAGGCAGAATTGTTTCTTGATCATTTTAATCTGTTGGATTAAAATGTGAAAATGTTATTAGACTTGCTCTGAATCTGTCTGTTTTGAATTTTAGGGAATTTTAAAAATTAATTTATTATCTTGTTTATAGGTTGTCTTTTGTTTTTTTTTTTTTCTTTCTTCTGAGTTCAGAGGTTAAGTTGTGGCAAGTTATAGGTTGTCTTTTTTTTTTTTTTTTCTTCTGAGTTCAGAGGTTAAGTTGTGGCAAGGAGGGCTTTATCATTCTGGTAGCCTGAGACAGCCTACCCCTCGAAGAGGAGCCAGAAAAGCTCCCTGGTGTATCTCTTGAACTACTTCCTGTAAGCCCCTGGCCCAGTGACATCCCAAAGCTGTCTGGGGAACTTCTGACACCTTATCTCCAGGCACCAGGCAAGGCAACTGCCTAACCTTCTCCTCTTAAAAAACCCTGGGACGTGCGTATTGCTGCCACCAGACCCCGAGCACATACCTTGTCCCCACTGTGGGTGGATGATGCAGTAATTGCCAACCCCAAAGGGTTAAAAATGTGCTCTGTAGCATGCTGATCCCTGAGGAGAGCATTTGCTGCCGTTACAGGCTCTGATTAAATGTATAATAGGACATGTGAGAAGACATCTATTCAGTAATTCTGATGGCTTGCCATCTGGCTGGTGCTCTACCAGGCACCAAGGACAAACGATGAGCAGGAACTGGTTCTTGCTTTGGATCTGGGTTTGCTCACCCCAGGGAGTGCTGGGAACATCCAGGCACCGCCTCCCCCAGTGGTCACCCCCGCCCCCTGGCCTCGTGAGTACTGGCCAGAGGTTGCCACGGCTCCAAGCACTTTGAAATAGTGGGGTTTTCTGTAAAGCACCCTAAGAATTGCAGCGTTGGAGTGATAACGTAGCACCCTTTGAGAGTGGATTTGATTTGGGGAGCAGGGTAGGGTCCTTGGGAACCATGTCTGTGTACAGCTGTAAATTCATGCAACTGATTTTCCAAATGCTCATTAAGTAAAGTCCTAGAGAAGAGCTCTAATAACATCATCTTTGGAACGTACCACTGAACTTCCAAGGTCACTACTTTGAAAGCGGTTTGTCCCAAAACTAGATAAAACATACAAATTCTGGTGTTTGTGAGATCTTTCCCAACGTCATCTCTTTCTTGCAGTTTCATCCCTTGTCTGGGTCAAGGATGTACTTGCAAGTGGTCTCCATTTGGGAACGAGTAGCCCCTTTTTTTTCAGAGGCAGTAAGTAAGTGTTACTGAAATCAGTGTTGACAAAGCCTCCGGCTTAGCCTTTTTGCAAAACACCATCGTTGGTAGATATGAATTTACCCTTGGCCTGAGAAGGTTGCCAGTTAGGTTTTCTGGCTCTCTTCCCTGCTTCCCACCTCCAACAAACTTATTTATTGTAGTGGAAATATTTTGCATAAAAATGTCAGGTTTTTTTTAACATCTCACACCCATTAGGTTACATTAGGTTTTGGCTCTTACCGAAAACAAACAAGACAGAAAATAACGACCATTGTCAGGATGTGGAGAAACGGGAACCCTTGCGCACTGTTGGTGGGAAATAGTAAATGCATCCTCGAAATACTAAGTGCAGAATTACCCTTTGGTCCAGCAATCCTACTTCTGAGTATAGATCCAAAAGTATTGAAAGGAGGGTTTCTTTTTTTTTTTTTATTAAGATTTTATTTATTTACTTGACAGACAGAGATCACAAGTAGGCAGAGAGGCAGGCAGAGAGAGAGGGGGAAGCAGGCTCCCTGCTGAGCAGAGAGCCTGATGTGGGGCTGGATCCCAGGACCCTGAGATCATGACCTGAGCCGAAGGCAGAGGCTTTAAACCACTGAGCCACCCAAGCGGCCCTGAAAGGAGGGTTTCAAAGAGATATGTGTGTTCCTGTGTTCGCAGCAGCATGACTCATAATAACCGAAATGTGGAAGCAACCACGTGTCCTTTGTTGGTGAATGGGTAAATAACATATGGGCTATACATATGGCATACTATTCAGCCTTACAAAGGAAGGGCATCTTGTCACAAGCCACAGCATGGGTGACCCTGGAGCACGTGATGCTGAGTGAGATACACAAAAAGCCACAGAGGGTATGATTCCACTTCTTTGACACCCTTAGAGCAGTTAAATTCCTAGAGATAGGGTGGAACGCTGGAAGGAGGAAGGAATAGGAAGTTCGATGGATGTAGTTTCAGTTTTGTAAGATGAAAAGACTTCTGGAGATTGGTGCCCAACATTATAAATGCATTGAACCTCATGGAGCCGTATGCCTAAAAGGGTTTAATGCCTAAGGGTTTAAGATAGCAAATTCTGTGTTCTGTGTATTTTAATTACTTTAAGACAGTTTGAGAATTTTTCTAATTAAGCCCTTAGGGGATGGTCCCGAGTGCATGGGGGCAGGTGCTAGGGAGGGGGCATGTCTGGTGACCCCTGAAGAGCAGGGTTCCTTCTGCTGCAGGCAGAGCCAACTGCAAAGCCTTCCTGCATCTCTGTTAGCCAGGGTTTTCCTCCTTGGTTTCGCACGGAACTCTTATCAACTACCTGAGTGCTTGTCCTTCCTCTCACCTGCTTCTGTGGAGCCGCTGGGCTGGATTGGCCGGTGCCCAGCTCGCTCTCTGGGTCCTCCCAGCTGTGAAATTGAAGACCTCCCAGAAGGACGGGGGAGGCAGTGGGGAGTCGGGGCTGGGAGCCGAGTTGGCCAACAGGCACTGTTTAATAATTAGAGGCTGAGAGCTACAGTTCACTAGGTTGGGATAATAACGGGCTGATGTTTTCACGCGGAAATTGGGTGCAAGACAGCTGCTGCTCCCACAAGACAGCTCTTTCCTCCCGGACTAATCCGAGCTGAGAGTCTAATCACGGGCTGCAGGGACCCAATGGGGTTTACGGGCCGGCGTTCCCCAGTCCTGGGACCAAGGCTGGTCAATGCAAGGCTTTCTTCCCGACCTCCTCTGGCTCCTTATGGGCTGTGGCTTGTCCGAAGAGTACATTGTCCCAGACGCCCACCAGCCCTGCAGACGGCCAGCCGCAGAGATGTGAGCATGACATCATGTGCGGCGGAAGCTGCCGAGCCAGAAGCCATGGAAGCGGGTTTTCCAGTCGCCCCAGCCGTGTCTGGGGCTGGAAAACCCCTCTGAGTGGACGGAGGCTGGGGACCACAGAGGACCCACACAGAGGACTGGGGTCCAGGCAGGGCTTCAGCACCTGACACTGCTTTACCTTTGGCCCTGCATCTCCCTTAGGAAGCCAGGAGAGAGGGAATCATCCCCCACTCCACCCCCAACCGAGGTCTGTGCCCTTGGGAGACACTGGGAGCAGACGTGCAGGGCCAGCTCGGAGCTCTGCCACGGGTCCACCTGCAGCTGTCCCTCCACCCTCCCCTTCGTGTCACTCCATCCTGCTCCCCAGGCTCTGATTGAGGGGGTCTCCTGTGGGCCTAGCTCATGGTGAGCACTCAGGGAGTATCTGGACCATTGCCTTGCATTTTCTCAGGTTCCCCAACATTGCGGAGATGAGGCCACCTGTAAGCTTGCACGGCAAGTTGAAAGTGTTCTGGAAATGTATGTCCATCGGTCATAAAGGAGCCGTTACTTATTAAGCCCCAATGGTATGCCAGGCAATAGGTTATGCACAAGATTAGCTACCTAAAATTGTGGGGCCTGGTGCAGAATGAAAATGAGGGATCTTAAAAAGCTTTTCAAGGTGGCAATAGAAGAGCAGTAAACCAGATCGGGGGATGGGAAGCTTTAGTGCACACAGCTGACGCACCCATGCAATGTTCCAGGTTGCCGAGGTCCACACGGCTTGCGTTCTCTTGAGGAGCAAGCAGTGGAAAGTAAGAGGACTAGGACGGGAGAGCTCTGATGGAACCCCACTTGAACCCTTCATCCCTGGCATGTGTGATAGGCGTGAGTTTGCAGTAGGTGCAGGATCACGTGGAGATGAAGCTGCCCCTCTGGGCAGCGGGCTTGTGTTTTCTTTTCTGAGAAAGGACCTTGAACAGGAAGGAGAAAGAAGATTCAAATCTTGGCTGACCCTTTCAAGCCAGGCTTGGGATTGAGCTTGGCTTTCCCCTCTGTGAGCAGACAGCACTTCCTCCCACTCCCTCAGGAGAAGCAATGGGTGGTGTTGCAGGGTCCATCATTTGAGACCACCTACTTCCCTTCAGGGAAGCCACGGGATGAGGGAACACACACTGCTCCTGTCAGCCAGCAGGGCTGGCATTCTCCAAGATGGCGCTCTCTCCAAGATGGCGGCCTCTTCTACTCAGTTCTCTTTAGTTCTTCACCGTGGGACTGATGGTCATGTGCGCTTTCTCCTTTTGCTGAGGCTTTTAGTTATGCTCACTTTGGGAAACCCTGGACAAGGTGTTGGGCCACCTTGGTCCTTGTGTGCACGTGACATTCAATACCTTCAGACGGGAGGGGTGTCCCATCAACAGTGTTGAGTTGGGGTCAGATAGATAGCAGAGCAGTGAGCATATTTATGTCCTTAATTTTATTTGTTTGGTTTTTCTCTCTGCCACCGCTGGTTCCTTGCCACCTTCTACTGCCTGCTAATTAGCCTTTTAGAAGGTCATCTTTTGTTTTGAGTGTTTAATTCCAGTTCGTTCTCATACAGTGTCATATTAGCCTCAGGTGTCAATATAGCGATTCATCACTTCCATACGTCACCTGGTGCTCATCACAAGTGCCCTCCTTCGTCCCCATCAACCTATTTCACCCATCCCCCACCAACCCCCCCTCAGTTTGTTCTCTCTAGTCAAGAGTCTGTTTCTTGGTTTGTCTTTTTCCCTTTGCTCATTTTTTTTTAAAGATTTTATTTATTTATTTGACAGAGAGAGATCACAAGTAGACAGAGAGGCAGGCAAAGAGAGAGAGGGAAGCAGGCTCCCCGCTGAGCAGAGAGCCCGATGCGGGGACTCGATCCCAGGACCCTGAGATCATGACCTGAGCCGAAGGCAGCGGCTTAACCCACTGAGCCACCCAGGCGCCCCCACTTTGCTCATTTTTTTGTTTCTTAAATTCCACGAATAAGTGGGATCCTGTGGTGTCTGTCTTTCCCTGACTGGCTTACTTTACTTAGCATTATACTCTCTAGCTCCATCCACGTCATTGCAAATAACAAGATTTCATTCTTTTTGATGGCTGAGTGATACTGTGTTGTATATATACACAGCACATCTTCTTTATCCCTTTGTCTATCAGTGGACACTTGGGCTGCGCCATATGTTGGCTATTGTAAACAGTGCTGCTTTAAAGATAGGGGTGCATGTATCCCTTTAGATTAGTGTTTTTGTATTCTCACTCCTGGGTATTTACCCAAAGGATACAGAAATACTAAAAGGTCAACTTTGACAGAAAAAAAATCAAGGCTTCCTTTTATGGCTCCTGTGGTTATCCCACCTCCCTTCCTGTGCAAGTTCCTGTGGTTTTAGAGTGGGATCGTGACAAGTGTAGGGTTCTTCTTTTTTTTTTTTTTTTTCCTGCCAAATGTGGGATTCTTGAAGGTTTCCTTTTTCCCTTTGTTAAAATGATTTTCAAATTGATTGTCAAACATCAGTTTTGTCAGGAAAAAAATTAGAAACTTGCAGTGAGCAGAAGCTGTGTGAGCTGCTAACAGTATTGGCCCCAGCTTCTCCTCAGTGTTTCTCTGACCAGTTTCGGGGCTACGCCTTCAAAGCTGCCCCCTTCTCCCCTCTGCACTCATAGGCTGCCCAGTGTATCTGGTTCTGTAGAGCAGGACCCTGAGGAGAATCTGTGGGTCTGAGTCGGAGGTGGAACCTTTGACAAACCTCACCTCAGGTGAGCCCGAGGCAAAGCAATAGTTGGGAACACAGGCTCTGCTCCATTTCCACAGGAGGCCACCTGGCACTAAGAAGTGTCAGGTGTGGGTCACCGTTTGGGAGTAAATACACAGAACATGCTGTGTCTCAGAGGGACTGATGCAGAGGCAGAGGGAAGGTGACCTTACAGACTTAGGTTAGGACACTGACACGCTGCCTTTTCTGTCATTGTGCCCACTATGAACGGCAGGTCAGATCCTTCCCTGAGAAGAGATTTTGACAGAGAGTAGCAGAGGAATTGAGGACACTGATGCTGGGGTGTCTGAAAGGGGAAAAGTGGCCCAACCTGGACTTGCCACTTTCCTTCACAACTGGGCTCAGTGCCCACCTTGTCTGGCTGGCCCCATCTTCCTTCCCAGAAGAACTTTAAAATGAGAGGAAGTGGCTTCAGAACACACCTTTTAAACCTGAAGGAGTTTAAGGGAGTGGGCATTTTTTGTCAGCAGCCCCCAGCCCCCTTGAGAAGGCGAACATGGGACCCTGGGGTCGGGAGGTGGGGAGACCAGGCGACTGCTCTCCTTGCTGGGTCCCAGGCAACCAGTGATCAGGTCAGCCCCTAACTGTGGGAATGCTCTGGTTTTGGAAAAGAAGGACCCAGACCTATTGTTCCAAACATGAGTAGCTAGAGGCCATAGCGAACCCCTGGGGCTGGATGAGCTTTTGAGCAAATTTGCTCTTCCCACATAGCCACACGCCCCAGGGGATCCTGGGAAGCTTTAAAGGATATAACTTGAAGAAATCGCTTTCCGTTTTCTTCTCATGGAAGTGCTACATGACCACTTCAGCATCTAAAGCCAGTCGCTGCCTGAGTAGAGTCGCTTGGGGAAGTCACCATAGTTTGATGATCCTGAAGGATTGTCTCTGATGCATGACTTGCAAACCTCTTTTTCCAGAACTTCCACAGTTGTTGGAGGGAGCCCTCCCAGCAACCAGGTGTTAGGTAGAGTACTTTTGGTGGGGTAACTGGGCCTACCAGTTGGGAACATTGTGGATGGGTTACTCTTGACAAATGGCTAGCATTGCTATGGGCAGAGCGACCAGTCAGGCTTAGCTGACAGTGATTTCTTCTCCCATCCTTGGGGGCTACTGCATACACCTGACCATGTCTGTCTTTGTGTTTTGTGTGTTTTTGTTTTCTTTAGGACAGATTTCTGCGTACACAAAGACGAACCGTGTGACACCGTTGGTAAGTTTAGAAGCAGAATGATCACTTAGGGGGCTGCTGAACCCCGTGATAATCTGGAGACCTGGTAACATTTCCAGTCTGGAGGAGCTCTCCTCAGACAGACCCTGCCCTTTCCTGTTGCCTCTTTTCTTGTAAATTGGTGCTTTGACTTCATTTGACTTCCTCTTTTGTTCCTGAGAAGTGTGGAGGTTGCTCAGGGCAGAAGGCATCAAGACAGATGCTGAATAAGGAAGACAGGAAAAGTGAAGCTACGGGAGGTGCCTCCAGGTTGCCTCAAGGGGACCGTGGTTGGGGTCACGCTTGAGTCTGACCCTCTTGGTCTCTCTTATAGGCAGGGACCCCACGACGTTACACTGTTGTCATGAGCTTCCCGGTTCACTCTCATGCATGTGGCTGATCATTAGCAAAGGCCTAAGCAGTAAAGTGGGACTGTGTGGGTGTGAGGCTAGCCTCCTCCACCAGGCTGGGCACCAGGCTCATTGCTTTCTGGTTACAAGGTCCCAAGACCAACACACATCACGGCAAGACACGTTTTCCTTCTTCCCCTTCCCTCCCTCTTCTAACTTCACTCCCTCCCCCAGCTTTTCCATTTGCCTTCCCTTCTCTTCTATCCTTCTTGGTATCTGGCTTGTTTTTGACAGCTCATAGGTTTCCACTTGGAACCAGTTTTTGACCCGAAGGAAGAGGATGCTTGCTTCACAAAGGAAACATCAAGACGGTTTCCAATTTTGACTGCTGGGGCACACACCTTTATTTGCCATGAGGTTGGAACATGGCACCACCGAGAGCAAGATTCTGAATGTGACATGCTTAGAATTGTAGGTAAACAGCATAGGATTGACAGATACATATTATCGTGGGATTCAAATGTTTAAAAACCTGTGCTTCCTGGGGAGTCCTAGCACGGTTTTAAGTGCCCTGTCTCCAAATACATTTACATCGGAGGTTAACACCCCAACATATGAATTTCAGGGAGAGGAGAGCACCATTCGGTCCATAACACTACTCATTTGACACTTTGCACACTGCTGGTGAAATCTTATGTCCTTGCATGACCTCCCAGGTGTGTGTGTGTGTGTGTGTGTGTCTGTGTGTCTGTGTGTCTGTTTCCTCCATAAAATCTTTTAATTGCATGGACCAGCTGTAATCATTCTTTCTGTGACAGCCACTTAGCACAAGGCTGAACCAGCCCTGTCTCATACTTCTTTATTGCATCCTCTTTTCCAATACCTCAGTGATGTTCAGCTTCTACAAAGGAAATGAATCCCTTCCTTTGGGGAAAAAAAAAAAAAACAAAACTTACATAGTGTTTTTGTTTTAACATGCCATAATTTATTTGTACTTATTATCAAGTCGGTTTGTAAGAACAACAGTGATTCCATGAAGAGAAAAATTTGAAAGCTGGGGTTATGGCAGACTTACAGCAGTCTCATCCAATTTGTTTCTGTACTTTTTTTTAACCTTTTATTTTCTAATAATTACAGAATCATTGAAAGTTGCCAAAGAAATTCAGAGCTAAGTCTCGTGTACCTATCATCCTGCTTTCTCCCACAGTTGCAACTTATGTAACCGTAGTGTATTTCCAAACCGGGAAATTGATTGGCACGGTACAGTGAGCTAGGCTACAGATTCTACTCAGGTTTCACAGGGTTTTTGCACAAATCCCGTTTTGGGGTGTGTTTTTACATATAGTTCTATGCCATTTTATTATGTATGTAAATTCATCCAGCCACCAACACAGTCAGGAGCAGAACTGGTCCATCACCTCCAAGCAGCTCGCTCCGGCTACTCCTGTAAATCTCCTTCTTCTCCCTCCCCCCTTTCCTTTCCCTAACCCCTGGCTACCATGTATCTGTATTCGAAGTCTATAATTTTGTCATTCCAGCATCCAATTTATTTTTGTATTTGTTTTGATTCTGCAGAATGGAAAAATAATCTGAATCACATAGGTATGTGGTTGCCAGTGCTAAGAGATTTTGAACAGCTGCCTTCAGATCTCAGGGTCAGGCTCTAGCAGGAGGGGTTGTGCCCTTGGTTTTACAGAAAATGGGAGAATGTGGCACCTTGAGAAACCAGGGAAGCTTGGGAATTGCTGGTGTTTTGTAATTTGGCACATAATAGTGTTTTCTGTTTGCTTTCTTGGTTTGATTGGGGTATAAACTTACATGCATACAGCAAAGGGTACCAGTCTTGGTGGATTTTTAATTTATACCTGTGCTTTTTTTTTTTAAGTGGCATTTATTGAAATAGTTTTTTTTTTTTTTTAAAGATTTAGTTTATTTATTTGACAGAGATCACAAGTAGACAGAGAGGCAGGCAGAGAGAGGGAGGAAGCAGGCTCCCCCCTGAGCAGAGAGCCCAAGGCAGGGCTCGATCCCGGGACCCTGAGATCATGACCTGAGCCGAAGGCAGAGGCTTTAACCCACTGAGCCACCCAGGTGCCCCTATTGAAATAGTTCTAAAGCAGCATTTTGAATTCTCTTTTAACCTATTTTTTAAATGGTAATAAATATAAATAACATAAAATTTATATATAAAATCCTAGCCATTTTTAAGTGTGTAGTTCAGTGACATTAAGCACATCCACACTGTGGTACAGTCATATGCCTGTGTCCTCAAAACCACAGCTCAGATTAAGGTATGGAATGTCATCAGCCCCCTCAAAGGTTATCTCATGCCCCCTCCCAGCCCCTATCCCCCCAAAGGTAATGTGCTGTTACTAACTTTTTTTAAAAAAAGATTTTATTTATTTATTTATTTATTTGAGAGAGAGAGAGAGAGAGACAGCATGAGACGGGGAAGGTCAAAGGGAGAACCAGACTCTCTGCTGAGCAGGGAGCCCGATGCAGGACCCCATCCTGGGATTCCAGGATCATGACCTGAGCCCAAGGCAATAGCTTAACCAGCTGAGCCACCCAGGTGCCCCTGTTGTAAACATTTTAACTACTGTCTTAAAAAGCAGCTTAAAATAGATTTCAGAGTGAAATTCGAACGATTCATTCGGAGAACCCCCAGGTAGCTAGTGGAGTTTGGGGCTCTGTTAAAAAATACTTTCCCTGCTCAGTCTGCATGCGCCCATTTCAGCAGACCAGGATCCTGATTGTGAGGGACAGGCATAAAGGGCGTTTACCAGAGGGGGGCTGCCCATGCAGGTGCAAGATCTGGTTGGAACACAGCACCCCAGGCAGCCCCGGAAGGGGAGGCCGTAGACGCCATGCAGAGGTCAGTGGTGGGGCCGGTGCGGGATGGCCTCCATCTGCTTGTCACCAGCTCCTGGGCATGCCCTAGGTCACGTGACCTGCAGCTCCTCAACCCATCTGTACGGGGGTAAGGAGGTTCTGGCTCTTTGGGCTTCCACCGGGGGGCAATAACACGGGAAGGAGTTCTCCGGAGGGCAGTCAGTGTGCTTTAGCCAGGGGGAAGGATGGATGCCAGACAGTCCAGGACCACCAATGTCCACTGCATCCCTGATCCTTTCATGAAGATTGAAATATGAGAAACCCATGTGTCTGCAGCTTACTATCTGTGCATGTTACCGGGGTCCTACTGACGTAGGCAAGGAGGGCTTCCCTGGCTCTAACTCTGAGGTGGTCTTGACCCCTGAGGGGGAGGGGCCTCATCAAGCCCCACTTCCCTGGCTTGGAGCTGACCTGCAAAGATGAGTAAACATGCTTTTAAAACAGTCATTCCTGATGGACCCTTCCTCCCAGCTCTGCCAGTTTGGGCCACTGTGGAAAGAGAAGGGATGGCAGCACAGGGGTCCTGCTGATCTCCACCTTGTAGGAAGACACGTACAGGGAGAAAAGGCAATGCTTATGGCAGAAGGTTCTAGAAAAACAGCTTCATCGCTAAGAGAAATAGCTTCCCCCTCACTGGATGCTCCCTACTTTGTACATTTAAAACCTTGCCTTTGTGGGGTTGTGGGCTTTTTCTCTGTTGAATTGCTTCATCCTGAGGAGAAAGCTGTCCTAAGTAAGAAGGAGTGTGAAGGGGTGAGACCTCTGAAAGCCTCTGTTGGCCCTTCACATTCCACTTCCCAACACACATGCCTCTGGGCATCTGTAGGTGGTACCTGAGCAGCCTGTATGACCAGACACATCTGAGTTACGTGGCGTTTGTCCTGGTTCTAGCCTTAGCTGTAAACTGAGCTGTGGTGATTTTTTTTTTTTTTCCGGACAACAACCTTATTCAAGCTTCACAAATTTAGTTCTAATTATTGGCATTAGTGTTTTTCCTTGCTTGCTCTCATTTTTTTTAATTAAGGGCAAAACCTCCTTTCCCCTACTGCTGCTAAGTCAAGGGATGTGATACGTGATAATCCTGCACTAAAGACAATGGACATGCTCAGCGGCCTCGTGAAATGTTGAATATACAAGACCAGGGAGATACCACTGAGGGGCTCTGAGACTGGTCCACACACTGGGACCCTGCTGTTTGGACAGAGGTCCCCATGGCTGTCCCTGAACTTTGGTATCCCTGTGTGGCCCACAGTGCTGGCACTGAGCTCCCTGAGACGTCTGGGCAGCCCAGCGGGGGCTTCATGGATGTGGCCACTGACCTCCACAGAGCGGGTCTGTCTGGGAGGGAGGAAGTATGAGATGGAGCATCACCCACCAGGATGAAGTTTTTGGGGAATGACGTATCTGCTTTGGAAGTCTGTTTCAGGGCAGCCTCTGAGACCACGGATGGAACATTTGCTGGGAAACCAGTGAGAGACGAGAGTGAGTGGGGCTTAGTGTCGAAACACTGCCCTGTTGGGTTTTTATTAAATAGGAGTGTCAAGGAGGAGATGTTCCGAACTGTGTCTTGTCTCAGGGCTTCAGCAAGAATGTCTTGCCACTGTGTGTGTATAAAAAAACATCAAAATGCATCCCTCTGGCTGTCCTTTATCCCCCCACATGCATCACCCTGGAGGACCTTTGGTTGGTCCAGTCCTAGTGCTGAAGCTGAAAAACTGAAAAACTTTGTGGAATGTCCTTCAGAATGCACATTTTCTTTCT